TTATAAGAAATATTATACATATTATTATTATTTTTTTGAACATATGGATATCGTATATCCATTTATCAAATTTCTAACCCGCACTGGGTAAGGGTAGTGGCCAATGGCCTGATCCCCCTCTTATGAAGGGAGGCCTGTGCCCAGCAGCGAGTCATTAAGACTTGCTGAACACGTTAAAAAGTATAATATTCTATTCCAGTGGTCGAACAGCCGAAACCAATTGGTTTTGGCCAAGGCAAATTATTAGAAGAAACAACAGTGTACCTTTACGAAGTGCATACGTTACGGGCCTTTCTGAATTACGTTGATTAAATGTAACGTAATGTATTTCATATTAAACTGATATTCCCACTCGGGGCATCAGGGGCAATTGCTATTTTAGGCGTTCCTGCTGTGCTTGTAACGACAGGTCGTCTTTGTTGCAAATTAAGCCTTAAAAAGCCTAAGAAATCATACAAACATTACATGTTGGTAAGCTACGGCGTTGAGAATTTTCAATAATAATAAGGGTATTGAAAGTTCCAAGAACGATAAGACTCAACGTTAAGCATGGAATATAACTTAAAATATAACATTGGCAAATACTACTACTAATATATTAAGAAAATGACATTTTCTCAAGGAAGGCTTGAAATGTAGCACATTATAGTGAAAATTTATCCTTAATTTTGGATCACATTTATAGACTACAACGGAAATGACGTATTATGATCATCGCTAAAATTGTAAGTTTTTGACATATTATTATGGAACCCCAGTCTGACAGCTAGGGTAGTTCTGGAAAATATGAATTATAGGCACAAATTGAGGAGGTACGTAATACATTATAAAAATTATCCTTAATTTTGCGTGACATTGGCAAGTAATCTTTGCTTAAGTGACACGTTTTTGTAGCCACTAACAAGATAATATAATGTCCATTGCTTGGTTATGGATTTTACCAAATGACCGACTTTTACTATATAAAAGTTATGGCGTATATTTGATGAGTCTTGGTTTTATAAGTGACATTGTTTTAAAATTTATATAATAGTACTCGTGCCTAAGAAGTGTTCTCAATTTATTGTCATATGTGGAAATATCCTGTGATGTGCATCTGTGTACATCATACGTAGCTTCTTCTACGTAAATCATAAATTTATCGTCGAGGTTAAACGTACACATATGCGTATACGTATGTCATTGTTAAAAAATCATAAATTTTACACCAATGTGTATGCGAACATTTTTAACAGAATATATCCGTTATGGTATTTTTGGCACACTTATGGAAAGGATTTACGTTAGGCGTTGTAATTATTCTAAATTAAATATTTATCTTTTCGGATTGTCAAATATTCGTGTAAATCTAAGAAATTATTATTCTAAAATTAAATAATATTATTAGAATTTTTAATTTAAATGCGAGTCACTTTGACGAAACAATGACTCGTTTAGCTGAGCTTTCTTTAAAGGAAACTAGATCTAAGTCTAGTATTATTACTAGCCTATTATTATTGTTATTTACCTACAACATATGTTAGTATCGTGCGAAGTCGACCTTTCCCTACCATAGTTATCATCTCGTCTCTTGAGGTATCTCTCTATCTATAAATATAGGCACTTCCAAAGCCATTATCAAGTTTTAAGCGTTGTTACATTTGATTTATTTATTTTTTATATACGTAAAGAGTTGGTTTCCCAAACCAATGGGCTTCAGAGTTATTAAAGAAATGGTATAAAATGGGGCGCACTATTTATTAATAATGAAGAGGAATTGAAAGTCAACTAATGTGTGTGTTTTCAGAAGAATTTATTAATTTATTATTAACTAAAATTGGAATTTTAAAACGCATTAATTGTTAATGTTAGTTATTGAAATTATTGTTCGAGTATCGGGTCGCGCATAGTAATGTTAGATATTAGTTTTTCTGAAGGTCTAACGGTCTAGGGTCTCAGCTTCGGGCCTGATCACTGGACTGGGAGAGTGTAAGTAAGAATAAACTTGGTCATGTTAAGTGAACACACTTTTAAACCATAACATCTCGAGGGCAGATGGTTTCTGAAACATTGGCGACCGAGGCCGTAATCGGCCAGGGAGATGTCTCCCATGTTGTATTAATACCTTGTTGAGTTGTGTTATCTACAATATAATTTATTTTTTATTTGTAAAAGGACTTTGGAAAAGCACTGCATTAAGTGTTTATTTTGGTCTTAGTATAAATCTCATCTCAGTGTTTCAGTTACATACAGCAGAGTTTATTTCATCACATTGGCGTCCGTCTCCTACGCTTGCACCACCAGGCGATAACAAACAAGTCTCAATACGTAAGCTTCGAATAACGGTCAAGTCAAATTAATAGCAGCGTTTTACCTACCAATAAAACGCATATTAATTTACTTACCTTATTCGAAGCTTAACTTTGAATAACTGCCTGGTGTATCTCGACTCAATGAAGAGATAATTTTAAGAGTGGGAATCGTTCACACCGATCCCCACTCTCCTGCCAGGTGGTGCGATAGAGAGCGAGACAGTAGACGGATAGACAAGGATAGATATATAAACGGCGGAAACGGTAATGCCTATCTCAATACGTAAGCTTCGAATAAGGTAAGTAAATTAATATGCGTTTTATTGGTAGGTAAAACGCTGCTATTTATTTTTGTATTTTTGGAAAATACCCTAATAGGTGCCTTTGCCTTATTTGCTATTAGTGAAGATGAATTTTAATAATAGCGTCTCTACTTAGCATGTATGTACTCGTATTGTGTGAAAGTATAAACACTATGGAGATTCTGATGATTAGAGTCCTACTTTTTAGAGATAAACAAAAAAAACAAAAGCGTTGCTGTTAAAAAGTACAAGAACTTATTTAGTAAAAATTACTCATCTTACCTTTTTACATTCTATATTCCAATTATATTTATCAAATTAAATGTTATCATAGTGTGAAAGAATGTAGTAAGCTGTAATATTAATTTATCATACACTAGCAGAACCCGCGGCTTCGCTCGCGCTAAACTACGAAAAAAACTTTAAGGTAGGTTTCATACAAACTTTCATCCGCTATTTTACCCCCTTATGGGATGAATTTCGAAAAATACTAAAACACGTATTTAATTAATTGTATCGAAGAGCATTAATACCAATTTTCAAGTAATTCTAATCATAAATATTATTTTGGATGGTATTATGACGTGTTTTCCCGTGGGAAAGAGATAATCTCTCGCGGTAAAAAGTAGCCTATGCCATACTCCAGCCCTCCAACTATCTCCACACAAAAATCACGCAAATCCGTCAAGCCGTTTCGATGTGAAAGAAAGACAAACAAACAAACAAACAAACAAACACACTTTCACATTTATAATATTAAGTATGGATTTACGAGTAGTACAGTAAGTAAGCAGAAAACACAAATAGTTTTTTTTATGGGAATGATATGGTATATGCATGTTTTCGAAATATTAGCACCGAAATCACGTAATGTAAACATTAACCCTGAACGTTACGAAAGCTAGGTAAAGGTGTTGCTATGTCAGCATAACTTATTAAATGATTATCACAGCCAAAGTAAAATTAAAAGTGTTATGGAGATCCAATCCTGAAAGATTTCAGTGCATTAAACAGTACAACGCCATATTATATCAAAATTTTCATATTTTACGTTCACACGAATCTGATAATTTATAACTATATTGACACTCGAGGTACAAATTAATTTAATTAACATATTATTTAATTATGATATATTCCAATTTAACGCTGGTTTGCAGTTGCGATAAATAGCCGTTAATGATTGCTTCGTTGAAGATGGCAATACGTATTTCTCGTTATTGTAGTTTGATTTACCTTGATTAATTTCACATCACCAGCCAAAAGTTATGGGTTCCATATTAATATAAGGTAAATATTATATTATCAGGATTAAGGCTTTAGTGACTTGAATCACCCATCGATGGAGAAATCAGGAGGTCATAGTATAAGTAAGACGCTAACATAATGTATGGCGCCCAGCAAGGCCCATGAGAGTTCCGTTAGGTTTTGGTGGGTATTCTGTCCCCATATAACACACCTGCTTTGCTGCTGTTGACATGGAGGAGGTATGCGTCAATGTACTTCTTAACGATATAAAATGTCAAATATTATAAAATATCGCAATATGAAAGATTTCGTAATGTTTTTGACAAAGAAATAAAAAAAAAACTATAAAAAATATGTTCATCCAAAATTCTCTTCCTGGTAAAAAATATATATTAACTGTCATTTTTATTTCAGTAAATATATTTTCTTATATAAATATTCGATATTACATAGTACTAAGTTCATATAAGATATTTATTTTATTTTCAAAACAAACAATATGATTAATTGCCATTAAACAAAATCAATGAGAAAGTGTAATGAAAACATTTAAGAAAATAACAGCAAAAGTAAAGTCATCATCCAACAGTTGTTATCTTTCTTATTAATTTCAAAACCTTTAAATATCCATTATTCCAGAATAATCCATGTTCATCTTTACCTACCTTATAGCTTAGTTTTTTTTTTTTAGCCGGAAAGTGCCGTAATTTCGCATTAAATGTTCATTTCGGATCGATAAAGTACGATTAATCACTCACATTAACGGTATGTCTTTCAAGAATGTGAATAAATAATAGCTTCAGTAGCTTTTATACGGGCTTCTTTCAAAAGATTTGTTCAGAGCAATTTAACCTTAAAAATTGGGGTTCTTTGCCGATATCTGTTATCTATTTAATTAGCTTTATGTTGAATCTATTGTTATTACCTGATTTATCTTCAGGTCTCGCAGTAAGTGGAAAATCGTTAGGTCTTTCCAATCAATTCTAATGGAATCTTTTCGAAATAAAGCTTTGCTTTTCTTTGAAATAAAATTTATATATATAATTTTCCAAACTGTTTTATTTTTATTTTCAAACACTGGATTATCAAAATTTTATTATATTCCATCTTTATACACAAAATCTGTGTATATTTCCTATTATCGATGAATTCGTTTCTAACCTCCAATGAGTGATGGATTTACATAGGGAAGGTCTTGTGTTTTTCTACAAACTCCAGACCCGGAAGATGATTCGGCGCAGAAGTATCCCTCGCAGCAGGTAAGAGAAGCATTACACTGTTGAATAAATATGTAGCTTAGATAGCATATAGATACTTCTTTTATAATAAATACATCAAATCACACGTACCCAGCAATCAAAACATTACAGTTCGGTGCACACTAGTATACGGTTGGCTCATTTTTAAATTTGGGTTTGTTTGTGGTCTAAATTATCAGCTCAATATACTGAGCTGATAATTTATACACATTGATTTGATTTAGACAATTATAATTGCGAGTGACATTATTTAGTATGCTGTGTGAAAATAAATATCATCAATCAGTAATAGTTACAATATTGTTTTATTTACCGGTTTGGTACCTATTATCATCATGTAAATATTCATATCTATTAATTACAAGCAGCTCACCCTCGCTTCTCTCGGGTTTGTCGCTAGGTACGTTTTAAATAGATATAAATAGTTATTAGCCAGCGTTATATAATTTTTTTTTGTTAATAATATTTACAAATATTGACATTAATATTTATACGATACTAACGTCACTCAATTGTTTTGCCTTCCCGGAACCTCTCCACTAACATTTAAACTTTATGGTATGGTATTAAAGTTCAAATTGGCTTTTAAGTATTATTACAAATCTTTTGTATGGGAGTATAGAAAAGTGTTGTTTTTAGACTTTTTCAGGCAATTTTTTATTTTTTTCTCTCCGTAAGAACCATCCTCGTACTTCAAGGAATATTCTAAAAAAAGAATTAGCGAAATCGGTTCAGCTGCTCTCGAGATTTACGCTTACCAACACATTCAGCGATTCATTTTTATATTATAGATTAATATCTTGTTATTTTTTTGAAATTTACGATAAGGAAATAGTAATCATTCTCATAACGCAAATCTAATATATCTTGGATACGTAAAATACATATTTACCTATTAGATATTCATATCTTAAAATAGTGTCCGCTGGCACCGACTTCGAATATATCTGATTAGGTATCTATTCTAAATAAAAACCCCCGTTTAGTTATTTTTTACATTTTAGTGCCTGGAAGTCGGTTTTTTTATAAGTTTTTATTTTTATATTTTTAGTGTAGACGTAATAAGTAGGTAATTTGTATGAAGAAAGTTTTTAATAACATATTCGATTAAACAATTTCTTGGAAAAAAATATTTATTGTTAATTTTTTTAAAAACCTCTCGACCAATTTCGATAAAATTTATATGGGACCACCTGGGAAGTATACCCTTTCAAACAAAAAAAAATTAAATCGATTCAGGCGTCTTCGAGTAATCGGTGAACATACATTAAAAAATCCGACGAATTGAGAACCTCCTCGTTTTTGGAAGTCGGTTAAAAATAAAGTACTATTGTGGTTAATAATACAGTTGATGAAATGAATATTAAAATATTATAGAGGGTCGACATTAGGTGCTTATTTACATTATGAATAATTAGAGAGTGTATTAGATTTCGTATAACTTACCTTAGTTAGAAGAAATAATAATTTTATCTATAAACCCATAGAATTCGATTGGATTCCATTTGAATAACAGTTTATAATAAAAAATAATGCATAAAAATATCACAAATGTACCGAACAATCAGAACAATCCGGTCCGGGTGTACAGTCTGCATTGACGCTGTTCAGCGCGGATAATCCAGCGACGTAGAATACGAGAAACGCCATAAAGAATTTCGGCATGATTTTGCAGTTACTGGTGAGCTTTAACAGAAAGAAAAAGTGAAAAAGTGAAGAAGAAAAAGAGTGAAACTTAATACAAATAATAAAATCCCACAAAGACAAATGAATATTTGAGGTTCGTTATAGTGATGCCAAAAGATATATACTTCAAAAAAATATTTATATGAATCCTAAGGTACGATCTTGTTGCGAGGCTTTGTATTTTAGGAACTATCGATTTCCACTAAAGATAAGTACAGCATACATAATTCGTTGGCTTACTATTACAAAGTTCTATGTTAATTTTAATGAAGTTTAGTAATTTTTACATAGAACTTTGTTATTTTGTTATCGTAAAAAAAACAACATAGAACAATGCAAAATTGAATATTTTGTAGTTAAAGTGCCGTTATCAAGTGGTTTGTTTTTGCAAAACTGTAGCTAATGACACATAGAACCTGGTAGCATTAATAACTAAATAAGTACTAAAATTATTGTAGCATAGAACCTTGTAATAGTGAGCCAATTATGCCAATATCGAAAAACAAGTCTGTGCTTATGGAGATTTTTTTGGAGGTTCAAAGACGGTATGCCTACCCTCCGTACACTGCCTACCGTTTTTATGAAAACTTACTTCTCCACCTCAAGGTTGCTTGGAAAAGATCACTTCCAGCGATAAGGTCGCCTGCTGTGCATCTTTTCTTTGTGTTGTTTTTTAAATAGTTTTTATGTTTCTTTTTTGGCATACAATAAAGAATATTATTATTATTATTCATATGAATAACGGCAGTTTTAAATCTTTCGAGAGTTAAAAACAATAAACCGATATTTTTATTAAATTTTGAGATAAATTATTTTGATTATTATTGATAATTTATTTCGGTTAAGAGGTATTCGAAAGATCTTAAAATGGGTTTATTGGTTATACGTATACGGTATAATAAATTATAACGAATAAAGAATACATTTTATGACTAATTCACTAACTAACACATTTGGGTTTTACGTTGAATAATGAGGTGTTTCACTAGATAACTGACGTTCAAGTCATTAGATGCTTAATCTTTATATATATAATTCTTCTGTGAGTGTGTATGTCACTGAACTTCTCTCAAACGACTGGACCGATTTTGATGAAATTTTTTGTGTGTGTTCAAGGGGATCTGGGAATGGTTTAGATTCACAATTTGAATAATAATTTTCATCAAAAAAATTATTAAAAAAAGTTTGAAATTTTCAAATTAAAGACGTGTAGACAGGACAACGTCTGTCGGGTCCGCTAGTAAATTTATATTTTAGTACATTCACGTAATTTTTTTCATTACTGGAAATGGACATTCTTCATGGAATCTTTAATAGAATTAGTATAATTAAAGGGAATTATAAAGAAGAAGATAAAAAACTAAAAACATTCTTATAAAACATCAAAATACATTATTTTCATATATGTATATTCTACGAGATTTATGAATGCTAATAACTTATATCACTTTCCCATGTAAGGCACCAAATAACTTATGAAGGATTTGACCGATTGACTCTACTATCTAGCTGTTCAGTTTGGGAGACCGCATCGCACGCTGTGAACTCGATCAAAATCGGGCGATTCATCAGAGAGATCTCGTTAACCAAATGATTCAAAAACTGCCGAATCTACTCGAATCATATTGACTACGAACCAACCTCTTTTGCTGCAAGCGCCATTGAAATCAGTCGATTGGTTGGAAATATATAAAATAGCTTTCTAGGATTTCAAAACGTTGAGATCTTATGAAGTCTCGATTTTCGATAATCAGACTGAAAACTATAACTTTTCGAATTTTTCAAAATTTACTACTTAGCGGGATATTTGAAAAATTTAGTATAATTTTCAAACAATGACTTCTTTCCTGCAGCTGTAATTACGGGATAGTGATACTCACATGAGAAACCGAAGACAGTACCGAGCAAAAATAATGCGGTGTGAGAGAGAGACCTAAGAGTGCAGCTCTGCTAGCACTTGTGTGGATGCTACGATGCTCAAAAGTTTATATACAGCGCTCTTATCTTATAAATGACGTTAGTGTACCAATAAAGTATACAAACTGGTAATGTTAAGACGAAGTCGACTTTAGGGCGGCATGATTTCGAATATTTCTTTTCTTATTGAAGTTAGGTAAAGATGAAGGACATCTGGTACCTGAGAACAGTTGCGTTCATGCGTGCACATACCTTCTCTACAGGTGTAAGTTGCTGATTTTAAAATCAGCAGATATTTCAGGACAAACTTATTGAAGTAAAAACTTCTTTAGGATCTTTGTGATTTGAAACTCGATGTAAGAAAAAAGCGACACCAAAAAAAGACAAACATACATCTATAGGATTTAGCCAGCGAAAGAATGAGATATAAGGTTTCTGCTTTGCCTTTACACAAGTAGCCTTTGAGAAAATTGAAATCATTTTCTATCAAATGTCTTTCATTTAATTCAGTTTTCAAATTAGGTTCATTTAAAATTTCTATCTGACTTTGCAAATCGTCAAACTCATTAAATAATTCAGTAAATTTTGTTAGTGAATTAATTTCTAATGACGATACATTATCTGTAGAGTCTAGGGCTTCTAAATATTTTTTTTATTAATTAGACGACCCTTAATCGAGCTACGCTTAATAAACAATTCTTAAGTTCTGACATTATCAACTTAACAAACGAGCGATAAAAAGTAAAAAAAATATATTTTTATTTTATATTATTTTTAAAAAAATCACACGTTCCTTACTGTTACGGTTGGGCGACGAACGCAGTCAACTGGAGCTAAACAAGTTTCTTATCAGTTGCAATCTAAGAGAAGGGCGACATGGAAGCAACGTGCATTCGTCATTCGCAAGCGATAGCTACGTTCGATGATACTTCGGACACGGTAATGTCACGGTAATGTATTACATATACATTACCGTGGTAATGTTATATGTAACATTACCGTGCTTCGGACGTACTCGTAGGATGCTCGGAACTAGAATTTTACAATGCGTATGCGCAGAATTATATATATGCAAATAAATAATTGTGTATAGAAAGCATAATCAACATCTTTCCGCTCACTTACTTTCTTATATCCTTTTCTATCGGTTGCCTGTAAGAGATCACTTGTAGTGATAAGGCCGCCTTTGCATATCTCTTTGATTGTATAGTTTTTTTATGTTAATGCACTATTTTCTTGTGCAATAAAGTGTTATAAATAAAAAATAAATATCTTATACTTATCATCTCAAGACAATCATGTAAATTACATCGTAAGCCAAATGCTTACCTGCGTTTGATATTTAACGTCAGCAGCATTAAAAACTCGAACAATTTTGCACGACTTATAATGCGAAGCATTAGAGAGTGCTCTGCGATCGTTTATTTTATTGTTATACTATCTATTCCTATTGATATACTGTTGTTAGTACATACAACCAGCTTAATGTCATTGTACAGATAACTCAATGAGAAAAAGTCTGCAATTTTCAGAAATTCTTGTAATCGAAACGAGGAAATAATTCAAATAAACTAAAACATTTCCCCGTCAAGCTATCTGAATGGATATCTAACGTAGTCTCGTTTAATTATAACTAATGAAAAACACGCGTGAAACTTAGGTTTTGGACGTCTCAAAGGCGTTATATGCTTGTTACAGACAGTGCCTACCCACAATTTTACAAAACTGGTTTCAAAAATTCAAAAATTCGATATAAATCCGCGAAATAATCCAAAAAAGTAGTTTTATTTAAAATGTCAAATATTCGCGTAAATCTAAGAAAGTACTATACTAAGTTAAGATCATAATTATATCTTAGATATCTAAGTATATTTTTTATATATTTTTGTACGTGAGTTCAGTCGTTCCGCAGGCAGTTTGTGAGCTACCAAAGATTTTGATGGATGATGCATCAACAACGACAGTGCCAAAGAACATCATCAATCTTATAATTTCTTACAGTTGTGATTTATGTTATCTAATATCGAAAATCATTTAAAAACTTTATAAAATATATCTATACATATAATAAATCTGTAGAGGTCGAATGTTTGTACATAGAAAAGAAATGCTAAAAACCGAGTCAGGGGGATGTAAGAAGAGAAATAGAACAAATTCAGATTAAAAAAAATTGTTTTTCGGTCTGTTTGTCTGTATGTCCGTTTGTTTGTTTGTCTGTTGGTACGGGCTAATCTCCGAAACTGTTGGACCGATTTAAATGAAATTTTGCATGATAGTACATTATATCCCCGGTCAACATTTTAGATACTTTTCATCCCGGAAAATTAAAGTGTTCCCGTGGGATAGATGTGTTTATGCTTTACCCCGCATGAACCCAAGCGAAGCGAGGGTGAGCCGCTAGTTTATATATAAAATAGAAATTATTTGAGGATTCGATTATTCGATATTCGAAACTTAGAACCTAAGAAACAATTTTATCAATAAAATTGAATTAACTAAGCAGTTACAACGGGAAAATATTTAGGTGCAGGTAAATTATGAATCTCAGTCCGACTGCGTAAGTCATTTTCCCCTGAATACTTGGTTTTCAAAGAGAAGTCATCAAAAATGCAAGCCTATCAGAATACTAGCCTACTTTATACGAGATGTTAACATAAACATGCACGTAAAAGCGTGGCCCAGTTTAAAATTGGCGTTAAACCAAGGACAGGTGTTCGTGTCACCTAGTGTTTGGAGATATTCGTGAAAGATAAAAACTTTCCAAGCTTAAATTGCTTTTACTTGTTCACTAAAAGTTCAATGAGGGTTACAAAGTTTACTCATAGGTATCTTAAAATGGAGATCACGATCGCGAACGTAATGAAACATGTTGAGCATGAAAGTACAGAATGATACCTTGAGTAATTTATAAGTTGTAGGGTACTAGGGATCCGCTCTAGCTTTATGATTAAAGCTACTTTTCTAAATCTATACATATAGTAAAACTGTAGAGATCGAATATCTGTACATATTTTAGATACTTTTCATCTCGGAAAATTAAAGACTTCCCGTGCGATAGTTAA